TGGGAAATACCTCTTTTCCTCTTTTTTTTCTTATCCATAAGTTGACGAACGAGTCTTGTTATAATATTTTTTTATTATGTCATAATATTTTTATACAAAAATAACTTAGATTAATTATTGTAAATTAATTATTTATGAAAATTATAAATATTATATTAATATCTTTTACAAACTCATATGTACTATAACAATATAGTGTTTTAGAATGTTTATATTGTATATATTTATTTAGCTCAAATAAACTAATACTAACAACAGTATACTGACGTACGTGGAGTCGTTTACTGTTTGGAGGGATATAATGTTGTACTAAAATTTATAATTGCAAGGGATGTAAATATATTGTATGTAAAAGCTTTTCTTTCATATTGCTTCCAAAAACTAGTCCATAATCGTCCCCCCCGGGTTGCAATTTGGCCCATCCAATCCATGAGAAGGTCTGAATCGAACCCAAATTGATTCGAAATTCGGATTGATTTTTCAGCAAAATATGAGAAATTAACTGTTCTATTTCAATGCCTAGAAATTGAAATCGAAATCAAAATTAACTGCTCTAAACTGGTTAAATATGAAAAAAAATAAATATAAAAGATAAATATGTGTCACGGGTTAATACTTCATATTTGGATTTAATCGGAATTTTAGTTGAATTGAAACTAAGCTAGTGATTTCAAAACCATTATCACCCCTTATTTTCTTTAAAAATATAATAACAACATTGAAATCCAAAGCGGTCGGATTGTTAATTTAAATTTTTTTATAATTGTTAATGAAATCTCGAACCGCATGGTTCGATCTGACCCTCGATGTGCAAAATTGTCTATGCGGCTGATTGTTGGATGATGAGCATTTGTCGAGTCGGGGTTGAGTTTGCGCCTTATCCCATGGGCACAATCTTCTTCCTTGATGAGTGGCTTGCTTCTTCATCACTGGGTTCCTGCACACATGCTGAGGTCGGAAGGAGGATTTTTCGACTCAACCCCTTGAAAGTTAAGTGAGTATGAAGTGAAGTTTTTTTTATAAAAGGAAAGAAACACCCCAACCCCTCGCTTGATGTCGATCATGAGGCTTTTATACTTGTGCTCGAGGGTCGATCATATATGATCTGACGACAGCGATCGACTTCTCGGGCGATCAACTTGTACCTTTGTGCGAGCACCGATCGACCTACACTGAACGACATCACCCCGCACCATTCCGAACTTTTCGAAGTGACCTTCTACCGTACGACGTTGTCTTGTGCAGCTTTGGACAATACGGGAAGGGGCGACCGTCGTCCCGAGTATAAGGTGGCACATTCGATGTGATGCTCTATCTCAGTCCCGAGGCTTCATGTCCACGCTAACGTGTTTGCTGCTGATTATATCCACGAGGATTGAGATACCAGAATATGTCTTATCAATAATATATAATAAAAGTATGATTTGAAGTATGAAGTCTAAACATGGAAGTAAGATTTCTAAGTTATGCCTTAGGTAAGTATGAAGTCTAAACATCATTTTCATTAGTTGGATGTGGATGCAAAGTAGAAAGCTGACAAAGCAATTACTAGTTTGAGCCAAATGGTCTATATCTTAGTAATCAAAGTATAACAAACAAGAAGAACAAATATATAATAGTAGAATCCACTGATCAAATGAGACATGATGGCCACCTTCTTAATGATCAACCAACCACTTTAATCAAGTAAAAAGCTTATTAAGGGTTTTGATTAGTCACTTTAATTGTCTTTTTTCTAATCAAAATAAAGTTAAATTAAGAGAGAGAGAGAGAGACAGAGAGAGAGAGAGAGAGAGAGAGAGAGAATGAAGCCTAAGGTTAGAGGGCACAATAAGAATCCAGCCCTTAGGGTTTAGCTGTGGCCTCAGCTTAAAAAGGAGGCCATAACCTAAGCCTGGACTCTAGTGGTGGCCTTCGTAATCTGGTGCTGCGTCTCGTCTGAGGAGCTCTTCTTCGATTTCGTCCCTAATTCGCTGTAAAACTTTGGATTTTGAGCTCGCCGTCATCGTTATCGTCCTTGGTTCGTTCTCCGTAAGTTTGTAACTCGGTATTCCTAACTTTTATGCCATCGCGGCATGTTTCCTCTACTTCTTATATCCATCTGTTCGTCGTTGTTTTCTTGTTTGTTTCCTTGGATCCTCTATGACTTTTTATTAAAGGTTCTCTCTTTTTATTACTTGGAGATCTGGATGTCCTTCTCGATCTCGCACATCTTTTTTATCAAATGTAGCGTATGTCTCGGTTTGTCATCGAATTATGTGTTTCGTCTCTGTTCTTCTGTGAATTTTTCGTGGCATGGAGGGTCTGGTTTTGACTTTATTATAATACGAGGATCTTCACTTTGATTGTTGACCAGAATTGCTGGAAAGACGTGAGGTCAAACATCATGCCGTGGGTGTCGTCCCTCCCGATTCATTACGACGGCAATAAGAAGCGTGCTTGCCTAGTTGTCTTTTCCCGTGTTATTGTGTATGTCCCCGCTTCTTGCTTGTTTTGATCTATGTTGAACTTTTTGCGGAAGAGGATAAAGGTTGAATTTTGATTCTGTGTTCCTTCTCTCCAATTATCATAAGATTTACGTTGCTATTGTAAGATTCTTTCTAGTCGTATTTTTATGCATACTTTTGTGCAGGTAACACGAACTGAAGCCGATTGTTTGGTTTAATGACTCAATTATATTGGATTTGAAGTGGTGATAATGTACATTGAGCTCGACTTAAAGAGATACTGCACTGTGGAGGAAGTTGGGGAAATCATAATGAACGTTAGAATCATTGCTTTCTATCAATTGATGCAATTTTGTCAGGTGATTCCCTGTTTTTTCATACTCCTTTGCTTTGGTTATACTTTATTTTGTGCCCATTGCAAACTGTAGTATATATCCTTTGGAATTGTCCTATGTTATGCATCTTGTCCTGTCAACACAAAATGTTGTTAGGTTCTGATCCATTATTATGATTTCTTCTCCACTTTTGATTCCTTTTAAGGGTTATGCTGATCATTGTATATATTAATCCTTCATGATTGAAATTATTGACTTCCTCTTAATTCATATGAGTATTGTTCTTCTATAATCATAGGCAAACAAACTAAATAGTATGTAGAATTAATTATATTTCGTGATATATCATGTCTCATGACAATTTCGGCTTATATTGCTGAAATGCAGACAACTGTTTGCTTTTTTGTTTGATGATAGTTTGGCCAAAATGAGCTTATTTAGAAATCAGTTCATTAGTGAAATGTGCTTATCCTTACAAAGATATTTTGATTTGTGCTATAGTTTTTTCTATTCTTTATGTACATGCTATATATTACTATTTTTATATTTATAATGTCTATAAGATGATCCTTGTCTTTTGTTTGGATGTCTGTATGTATTGGATAGTATATTTTCTTGGTTCGTACTCTTTATTTCCTTCTTATTTGAGCTCTTATATATTATAACGCTATTGATCTTGTCCTTCCAAATGCTAGGCTGAGTACTTCCGCCAGTTGCTTAAGCCTGTAACGTAGTTTCAAAGTAAGCTGGGCTATAATATCCTCTTTAGTCATCGATCTGCCATAAGAATAATGATAGATGCAAGATTGGGAAGATAATACATTGGTGACATATAATTTGCTACCACACAATCTTTTCTAAAGTGATAATCTGGTAAGATATTCGGAAGCACATAGTAACTTTTGGAGACACAAAAGGTGTCAACTAGCTTAGTTGATAAATACTTTGATAGTCTATCGCAAGGTCTTGAGACTGAATCCTGTCTTGGTCACTTACTCAAAAAAAGAAAAAAAGAAAATTGGAGACACATTTGAAAGCCATATACTTCTGCCTGCTGAAGACCATCCAACCATCCCCATTTCGGCAGCAAAGGATCCAATAATCTTTTGTCTCCATGCACGGAGACCCAAGATATTTTGCAGGAAATGTACCACCCGCTCATCCATATGAAGTGGGTGGCTACACCTATAACATCTATACCAATGGTGTTCCTACCCTTACCTTTGGTGCTGCTCAACCTGGGAGAAAATATGAAATTCCTGGTACATTTAGTAGATTCAAGCACCAACTCTCTGAAACCTGCCCCAAGAACTTCATTTTTAATCAGATGGACAACACAGATCGGGTCATGTCCCACCCTGCTCTGGTTCACGAGTTTGGTTCCTCAAACTTCCATGTTGGTGCTGCATGTGTTGAAGAATATGGCAAAATCATTGGCAGAAATACTGATATTAAAGAAGAATGTTCATCATCTTTCAAAGAAGACACTGAAGATATTAATGCACTGCTTAGTTCAGAAGAAGAAAATGATGAAGATGACGATGTAATCAGCACCGGTAGGACTCCTGTCTACAACCAGGATGACAATTTCCCAGACTCACCACGCTTCATGGAAGATCTGGGATGTCACACATTGGGAAATGCTTCCAGTCACAAGTCAACTTTGAACAGTGCCGATAGAAAGAGGGATAGGATGAAAAAGATGGTCGAAGCTCTCAGGGGCATTATACCTGGCGGAGATCAGATGGACACGACGGTCGTCCTTGATGAAGCTGTTAGATATTTGAAATCCCTCAAGTCAGAAGTTGAGAAACTCGGAATACAGGACCTTGATGACTAAATTCATGGGAATTCTGATTATCCTAGTTCCATTGCTAGAGAATAAAAGAAGAGGCATCGTATTGGAGTTCCATATAACAAAGTAGCCATATTACTATTCTCTCTCTGCAATGCCTATCCAAGGAAAGGACCATCTTTTTTTTATTGTGTTGGTGGGCCTTTGTTGTTGCCCATGATGTTATGATTCTGAAGTGTGAGGTTTGTGTTCTCAGAGGTGTCTTTGTGTCTCCCTCCTTTAATATGTCTTTACGTTCTTAGGATGTTATCTGATGTTATCATGTTGGCAAGTACTTTCTGATGTCTGGTCATAGCACTCCCTATATTTATAGCTCCACTTCATTTTAAGTGGGCATCCTTTTCATTCATGTTATAAGTGCCTTGGGAATATGGTATCTTTGCCATTTCTTTTCTGCTTATCAATATTATGGATTTTGGTACTCGTATACAGGCATTTTAAGATTTGAGATCATCAATGTGTTTTGTTATGTGAAATGTGTATCAGTAGTTGAAGGAAGGAAGTTGATTATGATATCCAAGGAGTAGCAAGCTTTGCCTTCTGTTTCATTCTTTATGCCGTTCCAAGGGCTCAAAAGGAGGAAAGGATGACCAGGAACAACAAGCTTTTCAGAAGCCTGTGCTGTCTGCTCTGAACTCTGAATTCACCCTAATTGCAATTTAGATTCCCTTGGTATTTCTTTTTCCCTCTCCAAGGGTTTGTTTTCCAGATGAGCCTCTCACCTAGTTCTGTTGTTCCTTTAGCCAGTCTTCAGTTATACTTATGAGTTGCTTTTTTGTCATGATATCTGAAGTGCTATTTTTCTTGTTAAGATCATAGGGTATATGATCTTTGAGTAATTTGCAAACTAATCATACATGTCTCGAGCCATGTGAACAGTTTTAGGATTAAGTTAACATATTCATTACTTATGCTTGTCAAATGAGAAGGCAAGGTGGATGTTTGATAGTTTTGTTTAATCCAGAAAGCTACTCGATGCAGAAGAAATGCTGTATTGTTATGTTTGTGTTTTGGTTCTTAACTTACAGAGTGAAGCTGTGGTGAAACATATGAGGAACATTAGTGGATTCTCTTTATTGTTTTCACACTTGTTTCCTTATGCATGCCAGCTTTCCTTTATTCTTTACTCAATGTTTCCATTAATATGCATCATGATTTTTCTCCTTTTTATTTTTTTGAAAAATAAGATCTAATACACAATGCTTTCACATTATCAAATATAATTAATATGTTGATAAGGGACATTTGGTCCCAATCGGTCATTGGTGCGGCTCTTAGTTTTTATATTCCTTAACAAATGTGAGACTAAATGATTTTATCAGTGCAGGGAACTAGTTTGCTCGATCGAGGTATAGGCATGGGCTTCCTTCTAGCACCAATTTGATAAGGAACATTTGGTCGATCGATCATTGGTGTGGCCCGAAAGTTGTGAGCTCCAAAATGTAAGATAAAAGAGATCCGACAGATTTATGAACGGATTTTTCACACAACCATGTGGGTCTACTTCTATTAAAGCAAAAACACCCAACACTGTGCTGATTCCAAAGTGGTACCTAGTCACCCAACACAACACTACACTCATGAACATTTCCACTCTCTGTCAACAGTCCCTCTAGTGTTGTTCAGCATCCCAATAACAGTCTAGAGAAAGCAGCCTTGTCCATGGTTTGCACTGCTTCAACTGCTGAAATAATTGCCTGTCTTCCTTCCATTGTCATCTATCTGAGTAAATTATGGGCATCCCCTTCTCATGTTAGTGCTACTTGAGAAAATGGAAAAGAGGGATGCCTGTTTGGCTTTCATCAGTTCTTGAGATAAAAAAAGACTTGTACTTCATGGTAAGTAGTAAGAATGGTGGCTTTTACAGTGATAGCCAAGAAAACTATGGTCAGACTGACTCTATTTGGGATTCTGTAACATATGAAACTCAGAATATGATGTGGAAACGATTTTAAGTGGAAGAGACAGAGTACTGCTAATCCTTGCACTTGCAAAAACCTTCAAGAAATTGCATCTGCATGGTCACAAAAACTAATTAGAATCAAATGGATTTTTAGTTTTTGGAGAAAGTACAATCTTTCCAAGTGTCACTACAAAGGCCATTTGTTTCCCAGGGAGCTCTTGACTTGTCCTGTCGTGGAGACCACTGACCGGATCGTCTTTAGGCTTGTGGTTGCCATCCTTGAGGCAGACGTCGTCGAATAGCATAAAATGCCTTCTGTCAGAAGCCTTGAAGATGAAGCTATAACCTCAAAATTAGATAGGCGTTCCTTTCACGGAGGGATTCTACTGGTGCATGAGGACTTCATTTCACATGCATGAAAGTTACTCTCAACCCGAACATCTCAACGCACTTCATGTACGACAAAAAGTTGAGACCACAGAACAAGAAACAGCATGCGACGAAGCCATGTCATGGTTGGCTGCCGTCGACCAAGGAAGGAACGATGTCCTGCAGGAGACCGTAGTCGGGGAAGTGAGACTGCTGGAGCGAAGGCAGTAGGCTCGCGAGGAACACATTAGGGTTCGTGTTCCCTTGCTGGGTGTCGATGCTGTTAAGTTGCGGGATTTGGTGCATCATGAGCTCCTGGCAGAAGCTGGTCGACATCATGGGAAGAGATGCTATCAGGTGTGTGCTCCCTCGAGCTGTTGCAGGGTTCTGATGATTGTGTTTGCCTTCGTAGGTGGTAATCACGATCGTGGGATCTTGATGGGACCTCTCCACCCTCTTCTTCACCGGGCACTTCTGAGTCGTGCAACGATAGTAGCTTCTGTACAGATATGTTGGTTCGGCGGTAAGGATGCGACCAAACATGTCACGAGCTCTCATGCTTACGGTTTGACTTACCTTGGATAAGGGCTGTTCTTGACTGCTTTCTGGCCATATTTCCTCCACCGGTAGCCATCGTCGAGATGATCAACCTCGCTTTTGGTCACGAAGGCGAAACGGGGCTGCCTTTGCCTTTTCTCTCCTTTCTTCTTGGTTTTATTCCTGTTGCATCCAGTTTCAAGCGATCAGACCGTAGGAAGCGAATGATTCAGCTGCTACGGTGTCGGAATATAGTTGGATGTTCATGCATTGATGATCCCCGGCTGCGCCCCGAAAGCTAAAGACCTCAAGGGAAAGACTTTGGGATCGAAGAACAGAAACAGGCAAGACCTTAAGGCTGGCTCGAGTCAAAAAGCTTAATGTGTCGAAACATAGAGGTCGAGATCACACAAGTGAGAGAAAAAATCCCAAAGCGAAACCAAACCCCATCTACGATTGAAGTTGCCATCGTCCAACACAATCAAACCTTTAGGCAGAGCAGAAAGTGAAAAGCAGGAAAAGGCAAGAGGAGACTTTTCAGTTTTCATGAGAACTCACACTTTCTTAGACGTATCGCCCCCGTCATCATCATCCTTGGCTTGTTGCTCCTCCTCCTCCTCCTCATCCTCCTGCTTCAGCTGATCCTTCTTACACCGTTCTCCGTCCTCTTCGCCTGCTGCCTCAGTGGACGATGAAGAGACCGAAGAATTCGGTGTCAGCGGGGTCGCACCTCCACCGCACCCGTAACGAGCATTGTCGTTACCACCAGTCATCAGCTCACGCGACGCCGTCCCACCGGAACCAACCACACCTGACGGCGCCGAACATGACAAACCCAAATCTCTACCTAGCGAGTCGTAGTCCATAGCCGGGCCATGCAACAAGTCGGTGAAGCTCAGGAGCGGTGACACTGCCTGCAGGTGGAAGCCGCGTGGACCAGGGTCTGCTGCGCCGCCCGGTGGCTTCTGGGAGAAGAGCGCCGACAACTCGTCATGTAACAGGAAGTGGTAATGCTCCCTCCCCTGATCTCCAGCCATGGACAGTGCGCCAGAGACGTGGTAAACGAAGAGGAGACGAGGTTGGTCCGAGAGAGAGAAAGAGGAAGACTCTTCCGTTGCTCCCTTCATACTATGCATATAAATAAGCTTCGATCCATCGCTTCCCTTCGCAATAATTTGGCTGGCGTTTTACGCAGGCGACGAGGACTCGTCCACGATCACGAGGAGCTCGTGGTGGGGGATACCGATGTCAAATTCCATGGCTCGTCGGACGCGTGCCAGTTGTGGAGCACCGGCATTTGACCAGCCCTCAGCACGTGGGAGACCGGGCGCTGACCCGGCGCGCTGCTGACGACGTGTGGGCGTCAGATCCCCCCGTCTCGGTGGTGGGAGGGTTGACGGCGGGGCCGCAGACGGTAAGTTCGAGGCGAGGAAAACATCAGACGGTCGGTGACGGCAGCCCCGGTGGTGGTGTGAAACCCACCGGCTTCACGGTGCGGTTCACGTGCGGACACTGTTGCGGTCTCGGGGCCGCAGTAACGCGTTTTTTGTCTCCGGCTCGGTGTCGGGTTGGCAACGACCAATGGAGAGTGAGGCTCACGTTTGCGTGACGCGCAAAGAAGCTGGGAGACATCGGCGAAGTTTCTCCGTCACCGACTCGTCGTGTCTGGGTTCGTGAACAGAGCCGTGTCACCCGCAAGCCGCAACATTTGCCACGGATTTAGAACTGCAAAGACATGTGTTGGGCAGCATCCACGGTGGCATGTAGGTGATGTGGCGAAAAAGAATCTCTCAATCAAAATCTGACACGTAAGGTAAACGATCATGACTCATCTCATCTTTTCTAGATCACAATCCATGCACGATCAGCTTAGATCTCAGCCATTTCTAGAAGAAGATGATAGACTCGTGTCACCGTGCTAAGGTTTGAATTTAATTGATGGATGTGCGTACCTACCCCGATCATCATAGTTGATTAGAATGCGCTCTATGTATTATATAGTTTTGGTTTGGAAAATTATCCTCAAATTTGTTATATAGATTTATTTAAGAAGGGCTAAACTTATAGATAGGTAAACTGATGATTGTTATTAGAGAGTTTGAAATAGAATGATCCAAAAGATAAGGAAAGAGAAAATAATATATTGTTTATAGTTGATGCTTCTCGATAAATTCAACACAAAGGTCATTGACTTGATCATCTAGCTCAATAATCATCGATATGACTAGTCTAAGATAACAATGGTTGACATGGCATATCTAACATGATGATCGCCAATGTAATCGACCTAGCATAATAGCTATCGGCATAATCGATTCGATATAACGATCGCTTATATGATCAATTTTATCTTTTGAATTACGTTACATCATGCTTATATCAACATGTCAAGTGGGTGGGGGGAATGATTTGGCATCTTCAACTAACACCTCTATTATATCTTACATTTATGGGAGCAAACGGTAGTCTTACGGTATCCAAATCATTTCATAGTGGATTATGCCATTCTTATCACACCTGACATCCTTTTTCTTTGTGTC